TTCTAGCATAACTACAATCAGTGTAGGAAAGGTTAGTTTAATCTGCCAATGCCTACATCAGCCGATAATGTATGAGATTTTTCCTCACATACTTTTTTAAAAATTCAGAATTTTATGCAAATTATATGGATTTCTAGGCATAGAAAAATGAAAATATTATGTACTGATTGGCTCAGATTTCTATGAAATTTTCTACTACAACAACAATCAGTGCAAGGAAATTTCGTTTAACCCGGGAGAACTAGGTATCTAGATCATCCGATGCTGCTTTTTTTTCCAAAAAAAATTTTTTTTTTCAAAAATCTTCACAAGCGTTTTTTTTTTCAAAAATTTATCAGTGCGAAATTATTTTTAGCTGTTCGTCCATTAAAAGCAGTACTATAAGCAGGAATTACTAAAATATAACAAAATTTTAGCAAAACGCCATCTATAATCGGATAAAAAAAAACTCACCGCATGCGGCCCATTATGATTGCTGTATGTGTCCAAGAAAATGCCTAGGCCACGGAAATAGTCTCTGGATCCGAAAACTGGTCCAGGCTGGGCCCGATCCTGTACGTACCATATAGCTGCGCCATCTCCATACAATTCACCGGTGGAGCCGTGAATTGCAAAACTCACTTGCAATTCCCAGTCACGCGCTAATACTGGCTAAAAATAAATGATAAATACATCGATCATCCCGGATTTTTCCGAAAAACCGGCAAAAAACAACAAAAAACACAACATGATCGAAAAATACCATCAAAAAAATTCCGAATTTAATAAAGAAATAATTTTTTTGGTGCTATAAATTTGGAATTGTGCCAATTAGGCATCAAAAACGGCTTAAATTGGGTCTAAACGAGGATGCAATAAACCACGCTAATATTGGCTGCACATTAAAAAAAAAATGCATTCCGATCATTACGGATTTTGCCTAAAAATCGACAACAAACAACAAAAAACACAACATAATCGAAAAATTTAATCAAAAAAATTTCGAATTTAACAAAAAAATAATTTTTTTGATGCTACCAATCTGGGATTGTGCCAATTAGGCGCCAAAAACGACTCAAATTGGATCCAAAGGGAAGTGCTACAAAACGTATGAAATAACCAAATCATATAAATCATGCAATTTCAAATCATTTATTAAACCAATAAATTAAAAACACGTTGAATCATAACCCTTTCCTCAGTAGGTCGTGTATTGGCACAAAAGTGACCTGTATAAGGCCGCCGTACCTGTATTGTAAAGGAGTGTCAATCGAGTAGCGCCGATCCCGTGAAGTGTGCCGACCAGGACGACTTACGAAGGACGAGGACCCCGATGCTACCCCAAGTTATTGCCGAGGAGCCAATGACCCGACTTAACAGGCCGCAGTATCCGGCCAGTCGAAGGAACGCCCGGGCCAGGAAACCCAACAAATAAATCATATAAAGTAATCAATAGATGACATGAAGCAGCTTTTAAGTTCAGCTCTTAGTGCCCTGCATTTTTCATTAATATATGCGAAAAACCCGAAAAATGAGTGAAAATGAAACAAAACTCACCACATTATTCCAAATGCCGCCCTGGACACTTTGAGTATCGGATGTAAGACGGATGAAT